TTTTAAAAAATTCAAATAAAAATTACCATTATTTTAAAATAAAGTTTCACAATATTTCAACCTATCAAATCCAAATAATAATAATAATAATAATAACAATAATAATAATAATGTTTCAATTAATCAATAATTTTTTGTTGACCCTCTATTAATGATAGATTACTCCAAGTTTTCTAAATTAAAATCCAATAATTTTTTTTAACAAAGTAATTTATTTATTTATTTTATAAACTTTGTGTTCTTCAAATATGGATGCAATAAAACCAATCACGAGGGGTAATATCTCTTTAGAACTACAAAAAAAAAACAAAAATAGAAAACCACAAGTAACACCAATACATTTTCTTTCTTATTTGCTAAGAATGTCTAAATAAAAATTAGAGGTTCGAGGAGAAGAACACAAAGCAATGCCTGTCGAGTTTCATATCAAACATAGATATACGTGGACTTAAAAAGAACAGTAACCATTGCAGGAAGCGAAGCAAACCAGAGGGGAACAAAAATGACAACATTCACGGCATCAATACCCTGTATCTACTTTCAATGATCCCAAAATCCTGTTACATACCCATGAAAAAGTTACACTGTTCAACTGATCTATCACCTGGACGGAAACTCCCATCTATCAATGGAAGTATGAAAAGCTTCATGGGACAAATTCACACTTGCTAAGATTAAGTCTCCACACCATCAAAACTAGTGAAAGAACTACACATACCCCCACAAATAAACAACCAAATGCTGCATATGCCTTCTCAATGCTAGCCGCATTACAGTGACATTTGCTTCTGGTTTCCTCCCCCATTTCCATCTAATTGTTGAGAGCATAATATTCATCCAAAGCAATGAAGTAGATATTTGAGTGCTCCCTAATTGTCAATTTTAACTGCTTTCTCAAAGGTGTGGCGATTCTGAAAGTAGTGATGGAGAATATCAGTATGAAACAGCTCCTTCCAAGTTTTACAACAGGTTTTTTCAAGTATATCATTCTCAAGGGCTTAAAACTGGGCTATACATTCTGGTAGTAGTCCTAATATATTTTGGAAGAAAAAGCACTTTACCTGATTAGCAGCATAAGATCTCTTCGGAGCATTGTCGGAGTGCTCCAATCCAAGATACTGTTCCCAAGCACCATAAACATCTCTACTCTGAGAGGGAAACACACCAGTGTAAAATCCCAGTGAAAGCTTCAGAGGAAATATATAATAAGAATTCTCTATACACATGAAGGTGAAAATCTACACCCATACCTGAAAACGACTGAACAAAATGTCACTGTCTTGAAGATATTCTAGACGACCAAGTGATAGGAATGCAAACTTCCACTGATATAATGATAGGATAAAACAAATAATTTTTGCCAATTAGTAAAATAGACACCTTAAAGAACATTAAACATGCAATACAGACAACATAAAAATTACCTTACACATCTCAAAGGCATAACTAAATTTTATCAATCACTTGAAAGGCAAAATTTCAATTCATTTTCTATTTCCTTTTAGGAAGGTAAGGAGTGGCAGCCAGGATCAGCTCGTATTTGACTAACACATGTTCCATACCTTAGAATTGATAAATGAGGGCATACCTTTGCAAATTCTTCATCTGGAACTAGCAGTTTCTTCTGTATTCGCAGTTTTATTTCAGCCAAAGTCTCACCTTCATGTATTACCAAGAAAAATGGTTCCCCAAAGTTCTGAATTTGCTGCCAATACCAGGGACTTAAAGAGATTAACAATTATAATAATGACCATTTTTTCTATGCAAAATGGGAAACAAATAGATAAGATGGAAAATGGAAAACTTTATATGGAGTTTGTTACCATCTGATTCTGAGCCGTATCTTTGGTAAAGTGGTATGCATGAATAAGGCGATCATTAGGACCAAGATTTTTCTCTTCTTCTGGAATCTTTGACATTGAAAAATAAATTCAAAGTAAAAACCAACAAAGAACATTTACAAAACAAACCAAAATTAACTAAAACTATAAATGATTATTGGATTGCTTCTTCCTGGTGATAGCACCAAGGGATATCTATATTTTTGAATACGCACAAACAAACTGACCTCTTCTGCTCGCAATGTCCAGTATTGATCATTTATATTTTCAATCTTCTCATTGGCCGGGAAAATCTGCTTGGATGTGAAAGAAACATTGAGGGCCATATAGCGGTAAGAAAAAGGGGTAATGGAAAAGAAAAGGCGAAAAAAGAAAACTTTTTTTTTTTTGAAATAGTACAATTTTTGGGATATGGGAATGGGAATTGCTAGGTATTGAACCCTAGACTTGGTGCCACCACTTTCTCAAAGGAGTGTAGCCAATAGGATATGGTGTGGTTGGCAAAAAGAAACCATGATTATACCACAAGGAAAACAGAGAAAAATGTTGAACTAGTGAACAAGTGCTTCATTTTTTTTTTTTTTTTCAAACTTTCATTCTGGGTATTGTTGGGACGAGCTTAAGCAGCAATGAAAGAAAACCATACCTTATAGATCTTGTGATAGAAAACTTCAAGCAACCTGAGTTCGGCATTACGATGAGACAACTCAACCTGCTCCAGGATGCAACATATGATACACAATCACAAATCAAAAATACAAATGACCACAAAGGATTATTAGTTTCACTCTCAAGAACCCAACAACTTAGGGATTAAAGCCTATTGAGCTAAATGACAAGATAATTAAGGAACTTGAAGCCGTTGGTAACGAATGTTTTGGTGACATAATAGTACAAAAAAATTACCTTTGGTTTAAGATCATTAAGCACATCACCTACGGTGCTCTGTTTTGGTAGCATGATGGTATGAATAACAACCTGAAATCAGGTAAGAGTAAATTTTGTTGAATTAAAACAAAAGTTGACATCATCGGTTGTAACTTGTTGGATGTGATCATCATACTCACTTCATCCTTAGTAGCATGCAGAAATGCTACTTTCAGGGTTTTCAAACATTGTAATTCTGGAAGAGGGATGTCTAATACTTCGTAGTATAAAATATCAGATGTCTGTCACAGGGGAAAAACAAAAGAAAGGGTTAACTTTTGTCCGCATTTACTCCATTTTGTTGACATCCACATAACTTGGGGCATTTTGACTGTTACCTGATTGTCGTGAACCAGCATTTCAGACAAATAATCAACTCCTCGATACTTAATTGGCTTAGGCTTAGGTTGCTGCGAGTAACAGTTGTGAGCTGTAAGCCTGATTTTGGATGGATCATCCAAACCAAGTTGCAGAGCTACGTTTTCAACGACGTCATCATAAGTATAGAGCTTTGACCTTAACATTCGCAAAACAAATACAATAAAGATTCTTTCAGCATATACTTTTAAGTGAAAAAAGGCATCTAAGAAATAAGTTAACAAGAGATTTCAACTTACATCTCCAGACAAAAATCATCTTCCTTTGGTTTTTCCAAAGACCGAAAGTGTACAACCTACCATACATTCAACAATGCAAAGATCATTTCAGTCTATAAACATAAATCATATTGTTGAAGAGTCCAGGTGCTAATTTTCTTAACCAATATAACAGTCCTCAGTATTGAGAGCATTTATAGAGGAAAATTGTACATATATAAAAAGGTTGAGGATGCATACTTGGTGATTATGCACATATTCCAAAAATGAAGGCACATCTGGATAGCGGAGTTGTTCAGTACTTTCAATGGGAAGGGACTTTTGAAAGCAAATAATGTCACCATCTTCCAGCTGTGGTCAAGACACGAGACCATTTAGAGCACTAAACTAGGTCCGTGTAAGTTAACATAAATGAATGATATATAATGTTTACCTGACAGGCTCGGAATGTGAATTTCTTCTCAATTGGTTCGCACATGACACTGGGTTCAAACTTAATTTCCTGAACACCAAAGTAGAATTACAAAGCATCTTACTAAACTGTAGGTAGGACATGTTAATCCAGCATACAATAAATCAGGAAACTCTGCAACCCTTGGAATGGACCTAGGCCCTAAATCCATGCATGCAGAGTCACAATGTTCTAGGAAA